AAAATTTTTCTCTGACCCCCCCCATTAAACAAAAGAAAAAAAAAAGGGGGAAAAAGGGGGGGGGTTTTTAAAAAAAAAAAAAAAAAAAAAATTCGGTTCTTTGCTGGCAGCAGCGCACATTGCGAACAAGATTTATTCGTTTGAACAAAAAGTTGCAACCAAAAATCAGCCATATCATCTTTGTTCGTCAAGAAAACGATCTTGGTATTTTTTTTTTTTATTTTTTTTTTTGGTTTGTTGCTGCCATTATCGTTGAACAAGTTTTCATTTGATTTCAATTTTTTTTTGAAAGTTTCGTTTTTTTTTCGTTCGAAAAACCACGAATTTTTCTGTTTGTTCGAATCAATCAACGAACCAAAGAAAAAACACTGGTTGCTGCTGTAATTTTTTTTTCAAATTTCGCGCTCATCATCAGCATCCTTCCGTCCAAATCGATTGATTTGAAAATCATCATTTGATCAAGCAAAGGTAAGTTTCGTGTATCATTTTTTTGGTCTGAGCTTTTATCGACAAAAATCTCTATGGTCTAACGACGACAAAAAGATCCACCAAAAGTGTGTGTGTGTTAAATGAATGTTGTGGTTTTTTTTTTTTTTTTTGGTTATTTCTGGAGAGCTTTGTTCAATTTGGTGAGAAAAAAAAATTCCTAATTGTCATCCCCCTTGATGATGATGATTGTCATCGTCTAGTAGTGGTACATAGATAAGAAGGGACCTTTGGTTGGTTTTTTTTTTCCTCGGCTGAACAAAAAAATGTCCCCAACACATTTGCCAAGCAAGCTTATTTGTGTAACGGTCGTTTTTTTTTCTCTCGAATCAAGCACTCAGATCGAATCGAATCGAACGCGCGCGTTATTCGTTCATTTTGTTTTTCGAGTTTAAAGTTTGTCATTTTTTTTATTTGGTTTTCTTTTGAAAAATTAGAGTTTGTGTTTCGTTCACGTGGTTCATATTTAAAGTTTGAAAAGAAGAAAAAAAGATGGAAAATAAAAGTGGTTCAAAATCAAATCTAAATGAATCAGTTTTACCATTATTGGATGATGAAATTCATAAAGAAAAAATTGAACTGAAAGAAAAATCTGATGATTCGGATGAACAAAAACCAACCAATGATAATGATACAGCCGATTCAGCAGCAGCTAAAAAGAAAAAAGAAGAAGAAAAAGAACGTAAACGACAGAAAAAATTGGAAGAAGAAGAACGTAAAAAACAATTAAAATTGGAAAAACAAAAACAAAAAGAAGAAGGTAAGTTTGTTTAATTGAAAATGATGATTGAAAATTTCAATCCAAAAATTCCCGATTTGATATAGAAAAAGAAAAGAAAAAACAACAAAAAGCTGAAAAACAAGCTGCAATGGATTCAGCTAAAGGTACTAATGGTACATGTTCGGGTATCGGTGGTGGTCGTTCATGTAATTTCAATAATCATTTGAATCAATTTACTGTTGGCCTTAATCTATTGGATCGTGATGAACGTTCAATTAATGATCATGTTAATGTTAGTTTTGAAGATGTTATTGGTGAACCGGATGCAACACAAGGATTCGATTCGGCTTATCAATTATCATTTGGTCTATTTCAATTTGTACGTTTTTGGTTGTATCGTATATTGATGGCAATCATTTCATTACCATTGGCATTCATATGGGCTTTAGTATTTGCTTTGCTTTCATTGATATCGGTATGGATCGTTACACCGGGTTTTCGTGTTATGGACATTATGTTTTTCTTTATTCATCGTGTAAGTGTTTTATTTTTTAAAAATCTTTGTGATTTGTATTGGATATTTAATGTTTTTGTTTCCCTCAAATTAGATTTGGTCCTGTTTGGTACGAACATTTTTGGATCCAATATTAACAAGCATAGCATTGGTACGACAATCCGATCCAAAATCCTATCATCCATTACCAATAATAACAAATAGTGGCCGTCCATTATCAACAGTATTTAAAGATGGTGTTAAATATAATAAAATTAACAGTAATGAAACAACAATGGAATCATATAAAACATCGAATAATGGTGAACAAGATCCATCAAGCCCACAAGAACAAGTTACAGTTACAATTGGTTGAAATTATCACGACTATACATCACTTCACTTGACTTATCTCATTCGCTTCTCTTTACCATTTTTATAATCATTATTATTGACGAATACAACAATAACACTCAATGACCATACTCAAAAAAACAAACATTTTCAAACAAAATGAACGCACATAATTTAATTTGAATAAAAATAAATAAATAACTAATTTGTGTAAAGAATTCGTAACCCTTTATTTTATTTTTGGATAAAAAATATCAAAAAAAAACACACATTTTACATTCGACGACGACGATCTTCATCATTTAGATCGATTGATTTTTTTTTTTTTTGGTTTGATTTGGTTTTTTTTAATAAAATTTTTTCGATTTTTGATCACGACCGGAAAAAAAATATAAAGC